AAGTCTAGTTTAAGGCATTCAAGATGACTATATGGTATAAAGTAGAACACCAGACCTTGTCAGCCAAAAGAACAGCTGTAGCAGTTCCACAACATTAAAATAATACCTGGAATAATTTCAGAACAAAGAATAAAGTTGTCATGCCCAGTTGAGTGTTGTTATATCCCTAGTTTTCCTTGTGGCTTGTAAAGGATAGCTTGCAGAAGGGCAGCTGTCTCTACAGGAGAAGATACTTTCTTAACAAGGTTTCCACCTCACGATGCATTATCTAGTTATGCATTTTATTACAAGTAGAATCATTACACAACAAAGTAATGCATATTGGAAAAATACATTTTTACAATGACTCCAGACAAACATTGCAGATAAAATGCCATTGTTCTAAGACTTCCTTTTCTATTTCACAGAGGGTATTAGAAGGTTCAGAGTTATTTTTGTCACTCATACAAGCTTTGATTTTTCTAGAGATGAGTTTGCTGCAGTACCCAACTCTGCTGGTTACAGGAAAAAAGAGGACTCGCCTATTAACATTTGATCTACAAAAAAAAAAATCCAGCCCTGGCCTCCCATATTGTTACATGTTAATTTATAAGCACTACGAGAGAAGTTGTACAAGCTGTTGATCTCCAGCACAGGAAGTCATTAAGGCATCTGTCAGCTTTTAGCCAGCAACCTGCTGCGCTCTGTTAGTACCTTCAACACTAACGTTCTCACTCCACTTAGTGGTGAGAAACAGTGACTACACCTTTTTCAGAGACACAAATTAAAACAAACTTAAGCCAGACCACATTTTGTGCTTGTGTAAGAGTACTGGATGACTGCAATCAAAAGGAATCCAGTCTAAGAACAAAAAGCTACAGTATGAACCACCACAGACTTCCCATGCAGCCCTGAAGTGCCTGAAGCCTGGTGTGACAGCATCACTTCCCAGGGACAGAAGTTAGTTTGTTTTCCATTTACCCTTTTCTTCAATGCTTGGCAGACTTGAGTCTCGAGTTAACAGATACCGCTCACTTAGAGACAGCAGGGGTAAAAGGGGTGGGGGTTTCTGGTCACAACTGTAGTATGCTACAAAAAGGAAGAGCAGTTGTTTACGGAGTTAGAAATGTGTTGACCACTACTACGTTACCAAGCGCCTCCATTCACATTTGTACCCTGCAGTGGAGCATTGCCAGCAAAACTCCCACAAAAATCTGAGAGGTCTGAGAGCTCGGACCAATACTAGGCAGAGTGCATGAAGGATCGAGCCCCACCAGTTGTTTGGTGGGGTCAATCTCTTTAGTTGAAGAACTAGAAGAGAACTAACTTGGGTTTTGGTTCAAGTTGTGAGCTTTTCCCCTTTAACTCTGGCAGAAAGCTATTTAGAGTTGGCTGGAAGGAAACTATCTCAAAGGCACTTTAAAATGATCAAATTTGCTGAATTTAGTTGCTTTAAATTTAATGAACACTTCAGGCTGTACATTAGTTTATCAATAACTTTCCTTTCATACTTCAGTGAGAAAGCAAGCTGGTATAGTATTGGCTGTAAAAAGCAAACGAGGACCATTACGTATGGTTTCCCAGATCTTTCCCAGAGTTTCAGGCAGTTATAATTAATATTCTACTTTTTAAAAGAGCAACTAGCCAGCCTTAAACTTGCCATTCAGTTCAGCTGAATTTTCACATGATCTACATTTTTCATCATTTAAAAGGTTGCTTATTCTGTTAGAACTGAGCTCCCTGTTCCCTTGCCCCTTCTATCAGAGAAGTCACTGAAAAAGCAATGTTTAAATGCTTTAGCAATTACATGTCATGCAGTTTTCCAATTAAGTTGAAGGCTACAGGCTGCGGCCTTGGAAGAACACTCTTCTACCACTATCTTTCAGTATTCTGAGCAGACGCTTACCACTCCACAGCACTGCAGCTCCAAACCAAGAAGGAAGTCAACATGTTATCATGGGATACACTATAGTCCAGACTTCTTTCACCAAATGTGCTTTCTCTCCATCATCGTTATCTTTCACTGCTAGAGACTTGCAACCAGTGATATTCTGAAACATCAGAAAACAATGGACTAGAAGTACAATGTTTTCCATCATCTATTTCACTCAAAAAAACCCCAAACTGTAGCTTGCAGTTAAATGCTTCAGACACCACGATTTTCCACCTCATTCACCTAGAATATTATGCCAGAGATGCACCATTTGTATTAGTAACTGTGTTAGAAACCAGTTGTGTTACCCAGGGCATTCTGTTGCCACATGACAGCAGCAGACATTAAACAGTGAGGCAAATTTGTATTATCATCCATTATTCTTCTCTAGTGTTACAAGGGTGAGATTCCAGTTATAATAAATGCATATTGGAAGATCAAAGTGCAGATCAAGTGAGACTTGATGCGAAATTCATCGTGCAAATGTCAGCAATTACACCCTCTCCCATCCTTTTCTTTGTACAAGTTTGAGAAAAACCTCAGGCAAGTCTCCCATAAAAGCAGCAGTCTGGTTTATCATCTCATCTTACTCTTTAAGACTGACAAGTCTCCATTCCAAACAGGGCGATGTGTCACCAACTCGTCTATATTGTATACACTGGAGATAACAGTCATTAAATAAATGCACACCAATTCATGGAGTAGAGATGAGGAATGCTGAGTTGGGTCTAAACTGGGTTCATTCTCTTGAGATGAAGACAGCCTTAACGTGGCATGTAGTTCTGCTTAAGTACACATTTTTTCTGACTGAAGCCTTTACCCACCAAATCATAACCTTGTCTATCAGCAAAGTACTTTCCTGTTTGCCTAGACAATGTGGCGTTAGATTTTTACAGATTCAGCATGTTTAAGAGAGCACGACCAGCCTAGATTAAAATACTGCAGCTTAATCCAAATTCCTGGCACCGCACTGCCAGTTCAGTATCCTTCCTTCAAGGCCAGAGGCTTAATGTTAACAGGAAGCCTCCAAATACACTCCCGCTCACCAGCAATCCTGCTGAAAA